TAAAAACAGCTGTTGAAGATAGCCACATAATTTAGTAAGTATAGAGAATAAGTCACACCTAGAGTAGATTTTCACACCATCTTCCGCTCCCCTCTCTGCTTTCCTAGTGATTGCTTTCCTTTTGGAGGATAATCTATAGAATCGGATTGGAATAAGTAGCTTGTGTTTATTTTCCCAATGATATTTTAATGATTCCCCCCTCCTCAGAAGTCCTACAAACCAAAGTGTTCTAGTGGAGCTTGACCGAGCTTGACAGCCTCCCTCCGGTTTTGATACAGGGGAGAGATGGGGAGGAAAGGGGGTGATGGAAAAAAAGGGGTAGGTTGGTGAGGGGGACTTTTTCTCCCCTTTTCTGATGCTAATGAAAGGAGGAATGGTTTTCCAGCTTTTAGCTTGCAGAGTGTGTCTCCCCTGCAGCATGCTCCGCTGCCTGGACATTGTGGGAGGACAAAACTCCAGGCCCGGGATCCAATAACGTGAAATTTCAGCAGAGAAGCGGCCATTGTGTAGAGAGAGGCAGCCAGGGAGGGGTTGGGTAGAAGGGGGAGATGGAGCGGAGGAAAGGGAGGGTGACTTGGCGAGCACCCAGGGCTCAGGCCACATCCTTTCTCTCTTTCCTCTCCTCTCCTGCACTCCTCCTCTTCCTTCTCATCCTTCCCTTCTTCTCCCTCTCCTGTCTTTCTTTCAATACCCCTCCACCACCACTGCCATACTCCTGTCCTCGCCTCCCCTCCACCACTCTCCTCTGGGTTGGGAAGCCTAAGGCTGAGACAGGAGCAAAGCATGATGGCATGCTGGAGCCCAGTGAGCCATGGGCCGGAGCAGCAGACAAACGGCCACTTTGTCAACTTAGGAAATGGTTGTCCCAGGATCCCCCTTCTCCGCCATACACTGGAGCAGCCGGCCTCGAGGCCCCCGGCCTGCCTGGTCTGCACGTGCTCCCTCATCACGCCGTCTCTTATCTTCTTACAATTTATTTCAAGTGGAAGCTGAATTCTAATTTAAGTTATGGTGTTGTGTGCTCTCTCTTTTGACTGAAATAGTAAGATACTGTTAATTCTCTTATTGTGCATTTATAGATGCCATAAAAAGCATTTGCCCATCCTTTTTAATGAATAGAAAAGGCCATATTCAAATGCATGCAGGAGCTATTGACTGTCACCTTGGTCTCCACCCTGTTCCCATCCACAGCCACCTCCTCCTCCGCCTCCCCCCGCAGTCCTCTTACACTCTCACCCCTCCCTTCGTTTTTTCTCTCCTGCTTTTGGTCGGAAATGAAGTCAGTCATCCAGCAGAATAAGTTGGAATAATTTGGAATGGTGTGTGTGTGTGTGTGTGTGTTGTGTGTGTGGGGGGGGGCTCCTTTCTCTCTATCTCCCCCCCCACTCCCCCTTGCTCAAAAACCCAGGCCAGCTGATCTGCTTCCGCTCTCAATTGTGTGTGTCCAGTCGACTGTGTGCTCCCAGCAAGGGGCGTGGAGGCCAGGCTTTTGTCTCCACCATCCTACTCTCGTGTGTGTGTGTGTGTGTGTGTGTGTGTTGCAGCAGATTGCGCTCAAATATCTTTTTGCTTACTGTTTTTACTGAAAGAAAGGAAAGATTTTTATATTAGAGAGAAGAAGAGGAGCCGATGGGACCTTTAAAATTCCCTTTTTTGTGAATGATTGAATGATTTAGTTTGAATTAGTTGATTTAGTTTTAGCTTAGTTTAAATCATTTTGTTCTTGGTTGAGTTGAGTTTCGTTGTTGGTCTGCAGGTTTCAGAAGTGTACTGTGGTGATTGATTTTAATTATTGACCATGACTAAACCATGACCTAAAACAAAGTTGACTTGGGTGTTTTGAGCTAGATGCAAAAATGCACGTATGCACAGTCCACTTAACTTCCTCTCTGGGTCCAGCCCCCCTCCCTGTGAGTGTCATGGTTGCTGGCATGTGTGTGATGGTGGGTCTGAAGGGTCAGGCCTTGGTCATTGTGCCCTGGTCATGGCTGAGCGACACCACCGCCTGCCTTCTGTTCACCCCAGGGACCCCTGCCTGACTGACAGCCGCTCCTGCACCCATCACCCACATCCTTTATTGGGGGCCGTAGAGGGGTGTAACAGCAGCAGTATTTCCCTCTTTTACTGCCCGTTATACTGCTAAAAAAAGCTTTTTTCTGCTGTGGCAGGGGTTCTCATGTAAGGTTATGCATTAGCCTTCTTCTGCGGCACCGCTATGAGGCGCAACCAGAAAAGGAGGCTGCAAGGGGGAAGTTGGTTGTGTTTTTGTGTTAGCCTCCCACGACCAGTTACAGTTTAAGCTCTGGGACAGCGCATTAGAGAGAAAACTGACAGTTGATATGAGAACATTTAGGAGATTCATAATGTTTGTAAATTCTGGATCTGTTATTGTCCATCCCTACTATTTGTTATTATCTGCTCATATTTATGAGATTGGCAGAATATTTACTTATTTTTGGATCAGTTTAGTCATTATGTGGCAGGAAAAAAATCACAACATGATATTTGAAAATGCCCTTGGAATTATGATGGTTATAATAACAAGTAAAAGACTTCCAATGTTTTCCACTTTTGTTTGCCCTGTGACTGACGAGGCTTGCTGAGAATAAAGACAGATTGGCAAGGCATCAACAGAGTGTGCACAGCTCTACCAAATTTAATATCGTTGAAGGATTTGATAGCCATTTGGTCTGACGAAAGGATTAATGGGATAACGGATTCTTGTTGCCAGTTGGCATAGGCAGAAAGAAGTCGTTTACACATCATTGACATATCACCTTTTAATTTAATATGGCAAAGTTCTTAGCAAAAAGTTGCTTATATTTACATCCAGCAGTTATGGCGCAACGTTAGCTTTCATTTGGAGTCGTGTTTCTGTCCACCTGATGAATGTAAGTCCAATATTCATATTCTTTTAGCTCTGTAGTTGGTCTCTACCCACTCGTGAGGTAAATATCAGGCTCTATAGCTGCTAAATTCTCCACTATGTTCACCGGTTAGTCACTAACTGTGTCTGTCTGCTGTTTGGTGATGAGCAGATAGTGTACAGTGGGCTTTTCTTTTTTGTTGTTGTTGCTGAAAACAGCTGTGTCTGAGGGAACCAAAATAGTAAAGTTGCCCGACAGCTAAACAATGAGCTGAAATTTGCTATAAAGTAATTTATGCAGAAATTGCTAAAGTAAATTTGTCTGGAAAAGGCTGGTGTGTGTGTGTGTGTGTGTGTGTGTGTGTCTCTCTCTCTGAACAGACCAGAATTAGCCGGATTTAAGTCTGTTTTGTCGGTTTGTTTATTTTTTGAGTTGCTCGTATTTATCATGCTCATCAGTCCTTTGAGTGGAACTTTAGTCAACTATTACCAGGTGCCAGGATATCAAAGCATTCACATGAAGAAACGAATGGCTTCAGATTTAATGCTCAGTGGCTCTTAGATTAATTACTAACCAAAAACCTGGGCACTGCCATTTGCCAAGGGTGTGGAAGGCGGGAGGCCAAAGGTTAGCCTTATTGAGTAGGCCACGATTTAGAGAGGGGGAGCAAGTAAGGGGGAAGGACGCAACAATTCTTCTTGTCGAGCACCAGCAGCTACTTGTTAACTGTGTAATATATTACATGTTGTCAGTTAGTGGCATTTCCCTCCCTTAATCACTTTCAGAGAAGAAATTCTTTACCAAATGTGTGGGACCCTGTGATGTCATCCTTATTGGTCAACCCGGACGTCAGCCAGAGAGCAATATGTCACCGGAAGACATCCGGCGGTCATATTCTTTACTTGCTTTACCTGTTTCTGTCAGCTCTCAGATCTTCCCCTGTCTTTAATATCTTACTAGGAGTTTCTGCAAAATGCTGCCCTCAGCACATCCTGACCTTTGTCATTTCCGGTGGCCCAGTGCACTCTGTGTTATCTAATCAGGGAAACATCTGATTCCAAGTAAAGGGACAGAGAGGCAAAAGGGTGTGGGAGAAAAAAATAGAATGAGTGATGTAAAATTATGATGTATAATTTACTATACAGTTATAGTCAGAATCAAAGTATGGTGTGATGCAGTCTAATGTAGCAAAGTACAATCCATTTGGTTGTGATATTGTCGTAGACATGTTCCCTTTCTTCAGTACAGACTTTTAGATTTTGATTGGTCAGCCTTTTTCCCGTTTGTGACTGTTTGACATTTGAATGACGATGCATGCGTTTATGTTGCTGTATGTCTGGGGGAAAAAAAAAAAAGTGAAGTTTTATGCATTTTTGTACATACCGTCTCATGTCAGCTGTGTATAAACTTATGTTATGTAAAACTAATGTTATGTATTATAGACCACTGCCTTACTTTGTATTACATCATAATTCAAAGAGGTTGATGTGAGTTGGAGCCCCTGTTATTAGTTGTCTGGTTTGAAACCACCTGCTTTAGGGGAAAGGTTGTAAATCCCCAGTGGGCAGAGCCTGAACTTGGCCACATGGTCAGTCACCCTCTGGCCGGGGGTTAACCATACACCGACGGCTTCAGACTTGAGAAATCGTAGCCAGTAGTCTGTTATATCATGCGCTAAAACCAAAACATACATTGAATCCAAAATTGAATTCTTGACTTTGCTTCTTCACATTCTGTCTTTAGTTTTGTTGCTTGTAAGAGCTTCTGGTTGAGGTGAACTTTGTTTAAGTGCTCAAATTGTAGGACAAATGTGATGTAGACATTTTAGACCTCTCTCCTGGCTTTATCTTATCTGTTTGTTTGTATAGCGTTCCACGCACATGTACTGTACTGCGATTTGTTTATGCTGCGGTTCAGCTGTATTATGTGGTCTGATATTTCATGTCTACTTTTGATGATGTTTTTGTAATCAAAGTGATATAAAAGGTCACAAGAAAAGATCCTCTAGGAAAAGTTTAAACTGCTTATTACTACTGATTATGTTCACTAAAAGCATTGTTTGTTTTTTTTTGCTCTTTCCCTCTCTTCCTCTTCCTTCCACACTCCTTGTCTTCCTCCCTTCCTCCTCCACAGTGACAGTTATGCACGTGTGAGAGCAGTGGTCATGACTCGGGATGACTCCAGCGGTGGGTGGCTTCCCCTGGGGGGCGGAGGCCTTAGTTGTGTCACCGTCTATAAGGTCAGCCGGGCGGAGGACAGCAGCAGCACCCACAGTGGAGGCAGCGGAGGAAGCAGCAGCAACCTCAGCCCCTGTAGCCCCAGTCCCAGCCCTAGCCCTAGTCCCAGCCCCACCGCTGTGGAATTCCACATCAAGGGCGAGAGGCTCAAGGACAAATTGGTAAGGGAATCTCTAGCTCATAATGTTAAAACAGCCTATTTTTAATGTATTTGGTTATGCTATGTTGCATACACTCAGATTAAGATTGATGCGTTTACTTTCTCTGTTATTTAGTCACTCCTTCTCTTACATGCACACTCAGGTGCGCAAACGCAGAGATCGTGCATTCTCTTGGATAAGATCACCCTGAGCCCCCCTTTCACCAGACTCCCCTCGCTCTGTCTCACTCTCACACACTCACACAGGAAGTGGTTGTTTGGCTTTCCTCCATGGCGCAGGTATCTGAAAATAGGAGCGAACTGCGTGACGCTGTGATGCATGATGATATCATCAGGGAGAAGGGCAGATTACTCAGGAGCAAAGAATGTGGGATGAGGGATGTGGGAAATGCACAAAGAGCAAGAGAGAGGGACCCTGGATGATGGAATATGGGCTGGAAATTCACACTCATTCTGGTTTTCCATGAGTACACGAGTAGTTGCCCATTTTCTTTATTAGCATTTCCTCTTTTTAGATGTGTAATGTAAAGACTGTATGTCTCAGTAAATTAAGCCAGAAAAATATGTCTCTGGTTATTCTAACTGTGCATTCAGACCAAACGCGAATTTAATCCACACAACGCTTTCCTCACGTGGGTTTTATCGGTGGACATCCCTGGAGTGTTCACACACAACGCGATAACGCGAATAAACACAACTCGCCATTACTACAGCTGTATGAACCCAAAGGAAACATTTTGCTATGATTAAATTGCAATAAACGGATCAAACTGATGCCGAAATAACTACAGTATGATGCAGATTTGTTAAACATATGAATTCATGCTTTGTCATGTCTATTAGCAAGACAGCAGAACAACAACTTCTAAAATGTTTTTTTTTCTGAATGGAGTTTGGATCGATCAGGGCTATGCTATGCTAACTTGGTCACAGTAAAGTACAACAATAGCTAGAATAAAGTTACATACACATGTTTTCTGACCTCACAGGTAGTTCAACCTCCTCGCTTTCTTTTCTCCCAGCAATGTCCCATTTTGTCCGTTTTTTTGATAAATATGAAGTAGTGCCAAATGACCCAAACAACACTGGAACCGGATGTGCACGGAATCTAGCTGCTGAGAAGCTCGAGTGAAGCCTGGCCCTCTTCACACAACGCTCTGAAGCTGTCGGTGAAGTACGGACAATCTCAACATTGATAGGCTATCGCGACTCAGCGTCATGCGAATTTCTCGCTTGAGTTGAAAATATTCAACAAGACATTTATTGAGAAACGCATCTTCACATTTGAGGAAATTTGCTTGAAAAATTTGTCAAAACTAACAATTCATTACTAAAATAGCTGTTGATAAATTTTCTGTCAAACAGCTAATCGATAAATTAACGACTAGTTTCAGCTCTAGTGTAAAATATTTGAAAGTCTACAAACTGAGCAATTACCATACGATAATGAATTGAAGGTTTTCTTTCGAAAATCTTTGTAGGCACTGTATTTTGACATGGGTGCAGCTGGGTCTGCAGCCACACAGTATAATAGCATATCGCTATCAACGATGGGCAGAGTCGAGGGTCAATGGACTTTCTTTTGGTAGATTTTAAATTCAACAAAATAAAAAAGAAAAGAAAATTATATTTCTGTCTCATCAACAAATAGTTATCCTTTACAACCACAGTTTGTCAGTAGGCGCAGTAAAACCAGTACAGGGCTACATTTAGAGATAGCGAGATATCCTACACAGCAAAAAAAGACCTCACCTGCCATGCTCCACTTTGACTTTTTATTTAAATTTTTACACACATTTTTGGCACCATATGGAACATCTACACATACAAACACATAACCAGCAAACTGCATGGTCATCCTGTCTCCTCTGTTTCTGTAGTATTATGGCTTTTGCTGGAGTTGCTGTAAAGCTCACAAGCTTCTTGCCACAGACTCATTCTGTGTTGTAGATGTAAAGCAGATCCAGTAGATGTACAAGAATAATCCTGGTCTGTGATAATGAGAGTGTAAATCTGTGTGTTTGGGAGAGAAAACTGTCTGTCAGATGTCAGGAGACCCACAAGGCCACCATAATGTACAGAGTCTGGCATCCACCATTAGAGGCTTGTTACAGCAGGGCGTCTAAATCACCTTTTTTTTATCTTCTTTGACTAAACACATTTTATGTGTGTTGTGTGTTTACGCCGTGTTTGTGCTTTTGTGTGTTGCTATCCAAGCGTGTGTGTGTGGCACAGGAAAGGGTGTGCCGGGAATGCTGTTGTTCAGACAGGGTATAGACATGGCTCAGAGACCCCGGCAACTCTTCTGGGATGTGGTAAAACACCCCTATCACCGCCAGAGTCCACCCCCAGCCACCACAACAAACACCCAGCCATATGTAGGTCTGTCGGGATGCCACCCAGTGCCATGGTGCCACCGACAGTCTGGGGGCATCAGAATAGGAGAGGCAGAGTGATGTCCATGAAAACAACAGCAACAGACAAAACCACATAAGATGTCTGCCAGTCGAAAAAACAAAAATGCAGGGCAATATCAGTACATGTCTCCACAGTGTTGTCTAAAACAGTAACATCAGTGTTTTGATTTCAGAAGTAAATGAAAGACCATAATTATGTTGTATGAGGGATGTTGGAAACAGAAAAGGGAGGCCTAGGGACGAGCTCCTAAATGTTTGAAAGACTGTTTGATTTGTTTTATCTAAAAAACACAAAAAAGGAAAATGCAGTTCCGCGATTTAGATGTATTTCTTTGTCATCTTAAGGGATATAATTTCAGTGTTTTTAATTCAGCCAGAAATGGACAGAAAAGGAAAAAACAATGACACCCCCCACCCCCCCACCCTATCCCTGACAGGAACCTGAGCTAGACAGAGGAAAACAGATCAGAGATGCAGTTATTTTGAAATCACAAAGGCACGATTTTGGCTGGTAGAAATGAGGTAATTGTGGTGCATGAGATATGAGATGAATCAGGGAAAGAGAGTGTGTGTGTGTGTGTGTGTGTGTGTGTGTGTGTGTGTGTGGTCAAAGAGCAGGAAACAGAGGTGGAGCCAGATAGACGGAAGAGGTGGAGGGGATCTGTCTATAAGCGCAGTGATGCGGCACAGAGTGTACTGGTGATGACTCAGCTGGCTCTCCATATAGCTACCAATCACTCTCCTCCTTGCCGCCCTGCCTCTCTCTCTCCCTCGCTCCCCTTCACTCTTATTCTCTGACACTCTTAAAAACTACAGAGCTGATTGGTTGATGATTACTTACCATACTGGCTCTCGGATTATGAGAAATCTCTTGGCTTAGCTCTCACCTCGCATCCTGTTGTTCGTAGTCTTTGAATCCCGGTGATTGATGCAGCTGTGAATGCGGTGTAGTCCAGTCTTACTCTAAGCACTTTCTTAGGACAAAGTCCCGCTTGATACAGTTGTTTATTTCTTCTTTTTAACCTTGTCGTTTGATTTGGTTTTGACTCATCCTTGCTAGTTGTTTTAATTTTTTTTTACCTGTAAGTCTTGGGTGAGGGGGAAAACTGGTCTCAACTTTAACCAATGCCTCTTACCAAGCCTTCAAAAGTCAGTGCTTAAATATTATTGCATACCATCTTTCATGCTTCTGTATCTATATTCCAAGCATTGTTATTGGAAGTGATTATAGGTAATTACAATTCTAAAGGGGCAAAAGCAGTGTTCATACATTGTCGCCTGATTTCTCCCTCTTGGTTTCTTGTGTGTACGTCTCTATCTTCCCCCATTTCCGCTCTCTCTACGCTATCTCTTCACTACTCTCTGCACGTCTCACCTCTGCCTGTCTCTGCCTCCGTCCCTCTCCTCCTCTAACATCTCCAGCGTCTATTCCGTTTCAGTCTCTCCTCCTCTCTTTTCTCTGAACACAGCGTGGAATGCGGTGTTAAGTATCGTCCTTCCATGCAACTGTGATACTTCCTCCTCTGTTGGCCTCGCTGTGCGCTCACCTTTCCTGCTCCGGCTCCATTCAGTCTCGCCTCCACAATCAGCCCCAAAGGCACACCCCCACCCCGCCGCCGCCTCTCTTTTCCTTGCCACCGTATCCTCCTCACATCCATCCCTCTCGTCTTCCCTCCCCTCATCCACTGGCTCTGGGTAATCACACAGGCTGAACCTTTGACCCTCCATTTCTTGGGGAAGCATGTTCGCAACAGTGACACGAGGGCAGATATTGTGCGATCTTCCGCATGCAGAAAAAGGACTTGCTACAGAGTGTGTGCAAAAAAAAAAACAACAACAAAAAAAAAAAAGTATCTCACTCAGACATTCACAATGAAATGTAGACCTGTGTGCGCCCTCTCTGACACACATATCACATGTCATCAACCTCTCACACAGCTGCCCCATATCAGCCCCTTAAAGCGTGCATGTTGACTGCATGTCCAGATCGACGGGGAAACGGTGCCATCTGCTTTCAGTTGTCGAGTATTGGTTCGTGAGCATTATCCTCCGACAAGGCGTTTGCGCTGCAAAGATGCACAGTGTGGTGCTTGGGTCACTGAACTTTTCATCACACCGGCTCCTGCACTTGCGCATTCTCTCACGCAGCTCGCCAATGCGCACGCTCACACATTCACACCACATAAAGCCACCTCTCGTGCACGTCTGTAAGAAGGAAAAAAAACCCTCAAAGACTGTAATGGCCGTCTCTCATTTCATTTAATCTGCCTAGAGGAAGGCCGGGAGGCGGCCCAGTAGCCCTGATTAATAATAGGCTTTGGAAACACAGTCTCTCTCTGCCACACACTTGGGCTGCCTGGCTCCAAAACATACTCAACCCCCCTTCTTCTGCCACCACCACTGCTCTCCAGCTTTATCATCATCTGAAATGAAAACCCCACCATTTAGACTGTGTTTTACAAATTATCCAAAGAAGCATGTGAAATGATTTCGTTTAGGATGATTTTTGTTTTTTGGCATTTTCTATTTCTATTTTAGAAACTATGAACTTGTGTGTGTGATGCAGGCCTCTTGCTCATGTTACTGTGGAATGATTAAATGTGACACATTTGAAAGGCTTAGGGTGAGGAGCAAGATGAAGGATTTACGTGCATGTTCCCTAGTGAGTTCCATCGCCAAATCTTTAAAATCTCCAAATGATGCAGTTTCCAGTCTGCATACTAGCAACTTTAGCTCGACCAAATGTAACTGCAATGTAGTCGAGTGCTAATATGCCTTGTGTATGTGTGTTGTCAGGTGGTGCTGGAGTGTGTCCTGCAGAAAGACCTAATATACAACAAGGTCAACCCCATCTTCCACCACTGGAGGATCAACGACAAAAAGTTTGGACTGACTTTCCAGAGCCCCGCCGACGCCCGTGCCTTTGACCGGGGCATACGTCGGGCCATCGAGGACATCAACCAAGGTGGGTGTCTGTGGGTTGGTGGGTAGTTGATGGTAGCTGCATGTGTGTGTTTTTAGAGTTTAGAACCCTATCAACAAAGCACCGGTTTTGTTTGGAATTCCCTCCAAACAAACCTGAGGGGTTGCAGTATACTGTGTGTGTTGGCAGCTATCCAACACGTGTAAAATAATACGGGTATATGTGTATGAACATGCATTGTTACCTGGTTTCTGCAGCCTGTATTCCTGCCTGTTTGTCTTTGGCTTGTAATGGCTGACCTAGCATCTGTTCTAGGAGAGATTCATAGCGTTGATTAGCGTTGATGATTTCCCCCACTGCTACCTGCTCACTCACCCAAGCATGACCCCTCCTGTGCTATCTTATCAGCGCCAGCTGCCCAGATAAACTCTCAACTTCCTGTAGAGACTGGTAGGGCAAGGCTATGCCCAGACAGTGGGTGATATAGGACAGAGGAGGGGGGTTGGTAAGAAAGAGCGGGGCTGGAGTTGGGACAGAAGAAGGGATGGCAACCTGAGATAGGGGCAGAGCTTTAGTGAGAAGAAACTTGACAAGGTGCGGCTTTTGTGCTGCTCAAACTTGGTAAGTAAGTTTGAGGACTGGCTAGTCTAGTCTGTCTGTGTTCAATGTGGCCTAAAAAAGCTAAACTAGATATTACACTGGAGTTGAATGGCTGAGTTTAGTTAACAGCTTTGGATCCATATAAGCATTATTTTCAGTACAGTGCCAGAGGTTGCAAAGTCATCCAATTAGCAGGAGAATCGCCAGCTCAGCAATCTGCCACCCAGCCCTGTGTTACACAAGAGGCTGGCTGGCTATGGAGCTATAATCTCCTTTACTCTAGACCTGGGAACTCTGGGGAGCATAGAGGAGGCTCAGCAGAACATATCGTAAAAGGCTTATCGCTGCTAGGCATCAGTCGCTTCTTGCCCACAATCGTTTATCTGAGATTTGAACTTCCTGGGCACAGTCCACACATTGTCTAGGTAAAAGGTAATTATGGACAAAAAATGTATGAGCGGGCTTTGCAAATAGCTCTGCCTGCCAATGCCAGTTGAAGATTGAGAACAAAGAATCGTGGATTGCTATAAACATAACATATCAATGAGGAGATGACAATGCCATATCAGAAGTAAGGGCTAGTTAGCTAGTTAGACTATAAGCCACGTGAAGAGCACTCTTTAGCCTCTGGCACAATCCCATGATAAGTGTTTTATTTTTTACTATTTTCTGAGAGAAAATAATCTGATAATGAAAGTAACAGTTAGTTGCAGCCCTAGTTCACACAACAAGGTGCTTAGGGAAGAAAAGTTGAGCATCTCTGATACCCGTTCTGTGTGATTAAACACATTCCCCTCACTTTTACCCCAGAGGCTGTGCAGCTTCTGTCTCCTAGTAAATGCTTCAACTCTTTGTGAATGTCAGCTAGAGCAGGTGATGGTGAGTTTCGTCTCCCCAGTGCGCTCCCTCTCTCTCTCTCTCTCTCTCCCCCCTTCCCCTGCTCTCCTTTCTCTCCTTTCTCTCCTGGCATCTTTCTGTATTCTGCCGGTGTTGTGTAATGCCTCCCTCTTCAGCGCAGGCAGGCAAGCAGGTTCTTCTGTATTCCTGTTGCATCGTTCTGCTGTTGGACTGCAGCGTGAGTGAGTGAGTGAGTGTGTGGGGGGGGGGAGAGCGAGAGAGAAGAGAGCGAGAGAGAATATGTTTTGCCCGTGTGTATGTGTGCGCACGTGTGTGTTGGTATCAGTCTTACAGTCCTCTGTTGCCATGGCAATGCCGGGCACATGGCTCAGGCAGCTTCGCGGCCCAGCACTGCCAGAGTCGTGCTGCAGGAAGCCTCATTCTCTGTAGTGAAATGCACACACACACACACACACACACACACACACACACACACACACACACACATGTGATTCAGACCAGTGGACAGACTGGGTCTAACACAAGCTTAGTGAATTCTTCTGTTCTCTTTGGGGCAGATATAGCACTGCCATGGCCATGTTTTGCTGTAACACCCCCCGCCCCCCCCCCCCCCGAATGCAGACAGACTAACTGATGCCTCAGTGCTTCAAATGAGGCCTCGGTGATCCTAATTAAGTGAACCTAAGTTTTAAAAAGAACCTCTCGATGCCCCAGGTACAAACAGTTTCCCCTTCTTCTCAATGGAAATGGTTTAATCCCTGTTTTCTGCAACATTGCCAAGACCGTAGCCTCAACTGTTTTCTCTTCTCTTAAGTTTCTTTAACAAGGTTCTCTTTTGTCATGATTATTCTGGCTGCTGCTGCTTGAAAATCAAGTGCAAGGTTGGCTCTAATCAGACATGCACTAGTATTGTGTGTACAGTACTAGTTTCAATGATAATTATAGTAAATAGTAGTTTTAGTTTAGTCTTAATAGCTTAATAGTTTACTGACTTAAACTGATTTCAGCATCATTAGAAGTGTAAAGAATATCTGTTTCCCAGATTATTTTTGTTGTCACTACTGTGTAGCAAAGTGGTTGCATGTATGAATTCATATACACATAATTGTGTAAATTTTCTTCACTTTTGTTGTTGGATGTCTAGCTTTAAGTTCCATTAATAAGACCATTAATGCAAGATTGAAACAAATGACAGCAACTCCTATGTTATACATAAAGCTCGGTAGGTATCGCATGCCAGGATAATTTTACTGACGTTGTGATGCTGCTTGATATCGTTTTGATACGCGTATCTTGAAAGCAGCACAAGTTTTTCACTCCCTTTTTATTTTTCAAAAATCAAATACAAATCTTGAGATTTTATTGGTCTGCGTAGCCTCATGCTTTGCTGACAAGCTTTCATTTAAGCCAAACTTCTTGCACGTAAGAACTTCCACAATTAATGAGTGATTTTGCATTGTTGAAACGTACGGACACAATTAAAATTGTCAGCAGTACATTGTTACTACTTCAGATTCATTTTTAAAATCTTATATAGTGTTTAAGTAGTACTTCTGGGTAGTATTTTTCATTAAGGACAATAATACTACAATACTGGGCAACAGTATTATCTCTTAACCAATGGTGCTCTCAATGTGAAAAATGTCACCCTGCTTTATTAGCAGAAAAGGGTTTAACAAAACAGCACTTTGTGTTAAAATATCAGTAACATTAGTGTCTTTCATCGGGTTACACCATCCACAGTTTCATTCTCTGTGGTAATGAAAAGCTGTAACATGGTCAGCCTAATACCTGAAACATAAGCTCTGACTCCAGCATCAGCAGAGGTGTTTTGGATTGGATGCGGAAATGGCACATGGCGTTTTAGCCAAGGTCGGGGTTACATTATTCTTGACATGCATATTTCATTAACTTCTGTGTGCCCCACTGACACAAAGCAGCTTTCATTTCCCCATTAGGCTGCAGTCAGAGGAAAGCAGAAGGCTTGTCCTATTCTGGCCTGACAAGAATCAGCGTTCTGTTTTAGCTCAAACATGCTTTGTAGAGGAGGTGTCATCCACTGAGAGTAAAATAGTTTCATGAATACAGTATAAATTATATATGTTCTTAAAAATTTAGCTATGTTTTCTAAATATTACAAGGAAGTGGACAAGTCTGGTACACGATTTCACTGTTGTTCCACAAGATTTTGCCCCTAGTGGTAAAGTTCCCAGACCAAGTCCTTCCTTGTATTTGTTAATCAAATGTAGCTATCAAAGAAACTAAACAGTGTGCTATGTGTATGTGCTATTATACAAGTTTCGTAATGTACAATAACCTGATGCAACATGTTGATAATACCATTAGTTACTGTGGGAGGAGGTTTTATTGCCATAGAGAATGATGATCCATGGATTGTGCGCTCTTAGTACTTTACTGTTGTAAGCTTTTAGTCGCTTAACTGTAACAATGACTATTGGTTTAAGTGTATAAAATGATCAAGTCAGGGCGCTAATCTTTCTCCCATCTGGGTTCTTTCTTCTCTCTTCCAGGTTGTCGGTCGATTGGGGAAGGGGATATTCCCGAGGATGGACCTCCGGTGAGTGAGATTAAAGCTGAGAGGTTCTGCCTAAGAGCTTTAGCTTGAAGAAATTGTGTGTTGTGTGCGTGCACATGAGTTTGTTTATGCTATAAGCATTTTTCACAGTACTTTCACATGGTTATGTAATGTACAAGTGCAACTACCTGTAGGTTTTTACAAGGTTAGATTTATCACAGAACTCTCCCTTGCTATTAAATTGGAGGCAGGTCATAGCTAGAACCTGAGCCATATGTTCTAGCCCTGATGTGTCCCACCCAGGCGCTGACACCTGCCTTTGTTTTCTAACAGTTGTTCTCGGAGATTTACAGGTGTTTAACCAGTACCAGCCAGACCCTGAGGTGAAGCTGGGTGTTGGCCAGCGAATGTGCTAGAGCAGGCTTAGCCGTCTCTATCAATCTAACTAGGTAGCTGTCACTCTTGTTACAATTGATGCTGTTATAATAACTAGTCAGTGCCTCAGGAGCTGGTTGTTGAAAGGTAGCTTGGTGAAAATGCTCTGTGATGTCAATGTTCTCCAAACTGAATGTGTTTCTTTGTGAGCTGGGCCTGTTTTTGTTGACAGGCTGAAAACTGATAAGTGTGTGGATAGATAGATAGATAGATACTGTAGATAGATATAGAGACTGTAGACTATATATAGTCTTATAGTCTACACACCCATGTTCATTTGTTTTAGATATCAGGCCTGTAACAGGAACGTCAGTCATCTTTTCCACTTCTGATTGCAAAGTAGGTGAAAAGACACCTTTGTGTGAGGACGGCCAGTTCGTGTAATGCATTCTTAGAGATGCAGAAACCATCCAATACAAACAACAGTCCTGCAATAGGTGCTATTTTTGTGAAACATATTATTAATTAGCATTGACACTGTGCCAGAGAGGTAATAGATTCAACTCTGGTCATTCTTTACTCTGTAGTTTGTGGTGTACACAAATGTACAGCTCAAAAAGGATTTATTTCAGGTGCATTTTGACTCTTGACACTGTACCACCTATGAGTTTGTTTTTAAGCTGTGAGTTCACTGGACTTGTCAGAGGCTAGTCATCACCTTTGACCTTGCTAGCATCTTGCTGGTCCTGTATGTTGTATACTATATGAACAGTGAAGGAGGGAGAGCTGCGTTCCTGTGGCGAAGTTCCTCTTTAAGGAATAAGCCTGAACATACAGGAAATCCAATGGCACCACTGTTGCTAGGCAGCGGGTGGAGGGGGTGGGGGTTGTGCAGTGGGAGGGGGGTTAGAAGGGGGTGTTCACAAGGTTCAGCGAGTGAGCCACCGAGGGTGTCACCATGGTGATTTGGCATCCGAATGTTGCGGTCGGAGACCTGGGCTACAGAGGAAGAGCAGGGAACCAGTGGCAAGTGCTGCAGCCAGAGAACTAGCAAATACCATTACACAACAAGGTGGGATATTAGCTGTGTTTCTTTATACTCATAAAGTCACAACACAGCCCGTACATATAACCTGGTACAATATGGTCTCTAAAAAAATACACAGACTGAGGGAGGAATGTGGTGTCTAAAAGAATTCTAATTCAGGTATTTAGTTTGTGTTATTGACGGGCCCCTTTAGAAGCAGGAGATCAGTCCCGAGTAGCCTTGACCTTGTTGGAAAAAGCAGAAACCAGTGTCTCATCAGTACGGGAGGTCATCACCAAGCCTTCTTTGATTAAATTCAGACATCTCTAAAAATAACTCTTAATCTTAGAATTTTGTGTGTGTGTGTGTGTGTGTGTGTGTGTGTGTGTGTGTGTGTGTGTGTGAGAATGTACATGCGTTCACGGCGGTCTTCTCCACCCACATCCTGCCCACTGAGGCTCAGCACCCACTTGTATGCCCTTCACAAGCTTACCACATTCTTCCTCTCACTCAGAAACACACGCACACACTATATGCACATGCAGAATATTTTACCCATTAAAAAAAAAAAAAAAAAAAAAAATTGTTGCACAACACCCTGCTCAGCTGTGATGACCCACTGCCAGGAATTTTGCCGTACCTCCACAGTCCTTCCGCTGGTACAAAGTAAAATGTGTTTCTTTCGAATGCCACAGGAAAACATCCGCATCTAATTTAGAACTGGCAGGAAGTTTTCTCTTATCAGTTTAGTACACAGAGGTTTTGTTGGCCAGTTGACATTTACAGCCTCACCCACAGACCGGTTCAGTAGACTGGTTTGGTGTGTTTCAATAGTGCTCTATAAAGCACGTTGGAGTAATGAAGAAGAGCGGTTTAAACGAATAGTTTTATTAGCTTTGTTGAGAGAGACTTAGATGAGAAGATTGATACCACTCTGCTATGTCTCTCTCAACTATGAAACTGCAGCCTGCAGCCCGTTAGCTTAGCATAATTACTGTAAACTTTCTGTTCTGTCCAAAGGTTAAAAAAATCGGGCCTACCGGCACTTTTAAAACTCACTAATCACCACATGTATACCAATTTGATTTAATTAGTACAAAAGCCAAACAATTAAAATGACATGTTCTGGTTTTTGGGAGGTTAGGTGTGGGCATATTTTTTGGCTGGACAAAGCAACCACCACTTTTTATACTTTGATTAAACAAACAAGAAACTGTATATGACATGTTAATTAGTGAGCGTTAGAGGTGCTTGTAGGTGTGCTTGTTACCTTAGGGCAGAGTCCCTCTGTTTCCGGTCTTAAGCTAACCAGCTGCTGGCTGTAGCTTCCTATTTAGCCTACAGACATTAGTGTGGCTTCAATCTTCCTATCTAACCCTCTGCAACAAAGCTAATAAGCGTATTTCACAAAATGTCAAACCATTTGACACATGGGGAGTAGCCTTGAAGTTGGCTGTACTTCTTTTTTTTTTGAGTTAACAAGTCACAGAGATGAGCACTGCTCGTGATTCGCCTCATTTAAGCAGAGTTGTATTTCTAGAGTGTGAGAAACACATAAACAGACAAACCATTTAGTGTGATCAAATGTCTGAACGTGCACATTCTTCTCCGTTCTTTTCTCTGTCTAATGGAGAGATCCATGATGTTCTGTAGGTTTGCAGTATGGGGGCCGACCCCAGCTTTCCCTGTCCTGAGCCCCTGTGCCTTGCATGCACTGCAGAAGTGCATGGATCCCTGATGTTGGTGTGGAGCCAGGTTGCCCCTGGCTCCACACCACCTCCATCCTTCGTCTCCCTCCCACTCCTCTCCTCCCAAACCCAGCCACATCTCTAGGGTCAACTCAGCTCCAGATTGGCCCCCACGCATGCCTTTGAATGGTGGGGCTTAGGCAAGCGCTTTAAAAGGAAGCCCAAGTCTGTTTCCCATTTCACCCCCCCCACCACCACCCCTCGCTCCTTTCTTTCTTTCTTTCTTTCTTTCTTTCTTTCTTTCTTTCTTTCTTTCTCTCACATACACACACACACAGCTGTCATCTGGCTTTTTAAGTTCCGTGCTGCATTTCTCCAGCTGGAGCTGGTTTATGACATTCCCTCAGCAGACTCTTTGGCCTCTCACTCTCTTTCTCCCTTTCTCTCGCGCTCTCTCTCTCTCACTCACTCACTCACTCACTCACTCACTCACTCACTCACTCACTCACACACACACACACACACACACACGAATACAACACAAAGTCATTTTTTCCTGTTCTGTTCTTTCTCTTCTCTCCCTCCACTGTCTCCTATTCATGACATTCCCCTGCAGACGCTCTGGATCACCACTTGGTATGTTTGGAGGCAAAGAAGGAGCAAAGTCACACACATACACACACCACGTGTTAGCAGTCTGGGTGGGGGGGGGCGGGCAGGCAGGCAGGCAGGCGGCCGGGGGGGGGGAGAGTCAAAGGAAACATCTCTTAGCAACCACAGGACAGTAATTACTGTAGCAGCAGCTGGGAGCAAACCAGATTTCCGCTGTGCGTTAAAGCACTGGCGTGGGCTACTTTACACACGGCACTGACTAACCAGAGCCAGTAGCCTCCTCCACACGCAGAGCTGAGAGAGAGAGGGTGGGAGAAGGAGAAGAGAGGAGGACTAACCCTGCCTTGATGAGGTCGGGGTGTGTGTGTGTGTGTGTCTGTGTGTGTTTGGGAAAAGAGGGACTGCTAGCCAGTGTGTACAAGGCTTGAATATGTTTCGATTGAACTTATATGTGTGAAGATACCGCGGCGTGTGTGTGTGTGTGTTTTTCTGAGTGGGATTTGAAGAAAGCCATAACCTTGGAGACATTTAGCGGTTTATATGAATCATTTTCAAGCATTGAGAGAAAATGTTGTTTGTTTGTTTTTTTTGTTTTGGATGCAAGCAGAATTAGGGCTGATTGCATATTTTCATGTAATTTGCGTATGTGATGGTTGGTTATACAGATGGCTGTGCTGAAATAATGAAATAGCATCACACAGCTCTTGATGTAATGGTCGACTATCCTCCCCCATCTCTCATCACCTCTGCACGCATGAATCATGAATAGCCATCACTTTTGTGATTTTGTTGCAATGAGGACTGAAGTATTAGACTATTTCTATTTATTTTATTCCTGTCAATGTGTAGAAATATTTTTATTTTAAAATGTGTATGATGCAGACTGTGGCATTTAAAAGGATGTTATTTATAGACATCTCATTATGGCTGAGCTTCCTTCTTGTAATTATGAGATTGTTAGGCGTGAGGTGGAAGAAATGCTCACACGGTTTCCGTAGTCTCTTTCTGTTTTTTCATTGCATGTTTCAAGCATCTCTCTGGTTTTTATTTTTGTTTTTTTTTAGGCCCGTGTTTGTAGATTATGCATCAGCTAAAATGTTTATGGGAACACATGCAAGGCTGATGGGAACTCTGAGTTCTTAACAGAAGGGCCTTGAGTCATCACCACACAGCACACAGTCATTTGGCCAAGTGTGGGCACAGGATGCCCCCTGGTGGTTACAAGTGGAACACACACAACCTACACACCCTGAGTCAAAACAGTTGTGGTCATGAAAACTGAATTGATCCAACGTTAGTGTTTTTAGTGTGAGAATGATAGCTAGATATTATGGGCATACTACGTAATACAATGTACACAAAATCCTAGTATACATACTGACAAATAAAGTATAATTGGATAATTATAATGAATTATGTCAACACACAGGTGTTTTGTGTTTCTTTGGCGTGCGTCCGTCTGAGGGGAAACACAAGATGTATTTGAGTTTTCAAAATACTTACCTTACTTACTTTTAATTTTCTCTGTATTCCTCAAGGTGTGTGATGAGCTTCCCTCTATCTGTACGCCAATGAAAGAGCCCTTCTCCCCGCTGAACAACGTCGTGTCCACCGAGCCATTCAGGGGCTGCTACGTCCGCGCCCAACCCTTCGACGAGTTCCCCTCCAGCAACCGCCGCTACCTGCCTCCACAGGTCTGCCACTTCTCCACACAACCATTCACATCTTTAAAATTTGAAGTAGATGACACTATATTGCATTGTGGCGTCTTGCGTGCGTTTCTTATATTTAATTACTGCTACAAAGTATTCTTGTTGAGTAGTCAAACTAATTCTCAATTTCTGCTCTTCTGAAGGTCTCCTTTAAGTCAACTCGTCATGTCAGTTTTCACATGGACGAGGAGGAGATTGTTCGCATCAACCCACGCAAAGACGTGCTCATCCGCGGCTATGAGGACTACCGCCACCCTGTCATGTGGAAACAGGAGGCCGACCGCGATGACCTGGACTTCCCCACTGCCTTTCACAAACTGGACAGTAAGAAGTGCGAGTACCTTTTCCCTGATGGCCCCGGTGGGGACTCCCTCTCTGGCCCTGGTATGGGCATTGGAACAGGTATGGGGCTGGGCAAGGACACAGCAATCAAGACTCAGCCCTCGCCCTTGCTCAAGTCGAAGAAGGGCCGACGGCGGCGAGAGGATGGCGAGCGCTCTCGCTGCATCTACTGTCGGGAGATGTTCAACCACGAAGACAACTGGCGGGGGCAGTGCCAAGACGCCCCCGACCCGATCAAGCAGTGCATCTATAAAGTCAGCTGCATGCTGTGCGCTGAGAGCATGCTGTACCACTGCATGTCCGACTCTGAGGGTGACTTCTCAGACCCCTGCTCATGTGACACATCTGACGAGCAGTTCTGCCTGCGTTGGCTGGCCCTGGTGGCGCTCTCCTTCATAGCGCCCTGCATGTGCTGCTACCTGCCTCTGCGCGCCTGCCACCACTGTGGCGAGGCCTGCCGCTGCTGTGGGGGCAAGCATAAAGCTGCAGGGTGACCCGACAGACTCTGGGACACCCTCAAAGCTAGCTAACACAGGAAGTGGATAAAAGCGGAAAATTAAAAGCCGGCATCCTTTTTTCATTCCCTCTCAGACGGGGTGATATGTTGTTGATCCCCAGCTCTGAGGGCTTTTGGAGATTTCAGTTTGTGTTTGTCGCCGACAAGCAGCAGTGGAGGACAAACCATGTGCTTTGTGGGGGCTCTGAGCATCAAGCTAAGTTCAGGAGCTTAATCTGAGGAGAAGAGGAGGAGGATGGATCAAGATTAATAGACTTGGAGATGTTACTAAAAACACCTGTAAACACACACATACACACACACCTACACGCCTCTCTCTCACATTCACACTCATGCATTGACAAAGCCAGGCCACAACTGTCGGAACTCTGCTACAAGTAATGTGTAACTTTATGAAGGAAAATTGTCTTTTGTACAGAGAGCGACGACTTAATGAAAAAAAAAGAAAACAAAACTACTCTGCGGTCCGAAAAAATACTTGTTGTTTGAGTATGCTAAAAGGGATACTTTATTGCTTTTTTTGTGAATTTGCAGTTGGGTAACAGTGGCCTTTCCTTCATGGCTTAAGCATTTGCGGACAATGTAATTACTAGACAGAGAAAAGTGCACTAGAAATGGTCCCCCCCCCTTCCCCGAGTAAAGGTAATCCTCTCAAATTCTTGTGGTACATTAACTACCATATTTAGTGTAATTTTAATATTTGAGAGATGTTGCTGTGATGGATGTATGGCCAATTCCTTGTTTTCCTTTCCATCGAATGTTGAAGAAAAAAATCAAAAAGTAATGGCTTTTTTTTTTTTTTTTTTTTTTTTCAAGGTACAGCTTGGTATAGCTTTTGACATTCATTTAGAAGTTAAAATGATTTAAAATGATTACCTTGCTTTCCCGGGGTGATTTAGACTATTTGATTGCATTCCAAAATAAAGGGATCGATTCCATGATTAGAAGGGAAAAAATGGTAATGACTTTACCATGCAGTTCCCCAAATAGCCCCCCCACCCCCTCATGAAAATAGCATTAGAACCTCTTGAACCATTTAAATTGAAACCAATACATGACAATTTGATTTACTCCAGTGAATTTCAGTTGTAGTCCAGTTATTTACTGCTGTAGTGAAATTGTTGGGTGTTTTTGTTTTTTCACTGTTATCTTTTCCTGCTCATTTTATAATTATTTTTGAAACAAAGGCTGAAATGTTGCTCAACCAGCAAGTTTTGTTTTGGTGAGTAAAGGGGTTACAGTGCTCCTTGGCTAAATGATGAGGCACTTAAATTAGGTTGTTTTACTGAGAATCCCTCAGATTGTGAAATTAGTCTGTACATACATTTGACTAATTTAACATCCATTTTGGCACAGGGGAAACCCCTCCAGAAAGCACTGCTCTCCAAGCTTTGGTTGCAGCACCCTCTCCAAATGTCCATGTTTGTCCCATGAATGAGTTATTTTATTTAACTTTTATTTTCCCCTCTTATCCTGTCTTAATATAGTATTTTGTTGTTCCTCAAAAGCCCACTCCTTCTGTGTTTCTTCATTTAACAGGCCCTGAATGAATGAATGCATTGTTTCAGGAATGCTGAGTATCTTAGCTATTACAAAACATACAGACGTGTGTGTGTCTCTCTCTCTATATATATATATATATATATATATATATATATATATATATATAAAATGTGTATGTGTTGACGTCATGTAACGTCACCATTGAATATGTAATTAAGGCTTTGACTTATGACAGTACAAACAAGCGTCCTGTTTTCCAAAGTATCTTTGATATTTTGGGAAATTTGCTTTCTTTCCCAAAGTTGGATAAGAAGATCAATACCAGTGTGTTCAATGTTAAGATGGAGCTTGAAGCCACTTAGCTTAGCATAGCATAAAAACTGGAAAAGAGGGGGAAACGGCTAGCCTTGCTCCGTCTGTTTGTGACCAAATTTGCCTACCAACTCCTCAAAAGTTCTCTAAATAACATATATGTCATTTGTTCATATAACATTTGTTTTGTTCAGATTAAACAAACAAGATATAAAGTATTAATTAGTGAGCTTTAACTGTGCTGGTAGGTGAGTTTGGCAATCTTTGGACAGAGTCAAGCTAGCTGTTTCTTCTTGTTTTTAGCCCATTGATAAGCTAAGCTAACCAGCTGCTGCAGCTTCAAATGTAACAAATAGATTGTAGAGTGGTATCAATCTTATCATCTAACCCTCAGCTAAAAAGCAAATAAGTGTAATTCCCAAAATGTCAAACTACTCCTTTAACATAGTTTGGGAAACAGGGACTAGGCAGACTGTACGCTAGAGTCTAGCTGTGTTTGAACCCCATTTTCCCACCTAAGACAATTTTTAAATTGAGCGTGTCTTACTCACAAAACCATAGTTAACTCAAACTAGTCTAAACAACAACACTTAGATTAGAGTAAACTCCCTCTCAGTTTGGGCGTCTGGCTGCAATAACCAAAATTATCCCTAAGCAAGGCATTGGCGTGTTTGAAATGAGTGCTAATTGTGATTCACCTCAATATTTAACAGCAGATTTGGTACAGCATCCATGTGCTGTTTGCTAACAGATATGCATTTCTTCTCAACTCCTGTCACTCCTGGTTAAAATACAATATGGTGGTCTCGACGCGACACACACATTTATATTTTCCTAATTCCACCCTGGGCCGACGCTCCCTTTACTTTCTATGCAAACTTTCTAACGTGGGAAACACAGTGACCTCTCTGCAGACTGAGTCAGTGATGGGACAGGACACTTTAACGCTATGTAGATAGGACGACCAACCCCTGGTACCAAACTCCAAACACCTGTAAATACTTAACACTATATTTAAGTTCTAATAATAATCCCAGCTTTTTTTGTCTTTGAAATTTTAAAGATAGAGCTGTATTTATCGTTGCTGTCAGCATATACTGTAGCTTCAATTGACAGCATTATGTACATAGGTCACCTTTTAGTATTATTTCACATTGAAAAGTAGAGGGCGTTTGTGATGGAAATGACTATTGAGCTTCTAATAGAGTTTCTCTCTAGTTTTGTACGGTAGAAGGAAGGATAGCGCTAACACGGTACAGTAGTGGCAGTCCACTTGTTTCAAAAGTTTGATATATAAATATATATACATACATATAAAGCTGCTAGATACAATCACTAATTTTATTGTTTTGACAGAGAAAATCAGCTATGAACGACTGTTAAACCCTAATTTTCCAACAGCATATAACCACGACGGTGAGTTTTTAAATGTTTGATTGCTCTGTGTGATAAAGAGGACACTTGTGCATGTGTGTGGGTGTGCGAGTGTTACTATATACGTGCGTTCTTGTGCACCCACGAGTGTGTGTAAAGTATGCGTGTTCGTTTCCAGCGTGCTGGTGGTGTGGGAGCGTGTGGGGTTGGTGTGTAACCAAATGTTTGGTTGGTTGTCATATTCTCCCATTGTAATTGGATTGCCCTGCATTCATTGCAAGCTGAACCAAGGTTTGATGAACCTGATTAAAACTTGCTGGCTGAGAAGCAAAATGTAGGACGTGCATTTATACGAAGTGTAGAGAATGCTGAAATAACACTTCTCATTCTGCATTAACCAGCACAGTGCAACTTCCTGTCATGTACTGTATTATATATGCAACATGTGTCTGTCTGCTTTAATATATATATATTTTTTGACCTGCATTATATAAGACTTCAGTTTTAACCACTTTGCTGCTAGTCTTTTATCCTCTTTCAATCTTGGAAATTGTGCATATCTTTGGGAATGCATACAAGTGTACATTCTTGACATTGTGTAGATTAAAAAAGAAAAAGCTATATAAACCTGTTTCTCTTCAGTGTATTGTTTTTAAAAAGGATTACTTTTCACAGCAGTTGAGTGGTTATGTTTCAATTCTCCAATGCTTTGGTGCACTGATGATACTCTATGTAAGCTTTTTTTTCATCTTACAGCGCTTGATGTAACATTTATGTGATTAGTTATAAATAGTGGAAGACATTTGTGTTTTGAAACTTGCAGTATAAATGGTACTACTCTTAACTATTCTGTAAACACTGCCTGTTTTCTTTCCTTTTCTTTCTTTCACTCTCTCTCACTTTGTGCATTTTTCTTTCCTGTGCATCTTTAGTTTTTTCCTTTGAATTTTCTTAGTGCCATCGACTTTCACATCCTGACAACCTCAAAAAAGTGCCTCACGTCCATCCTAGTTTCCATTTTATAATTTAACATCTCTCGTTCTGGTTCTATTGGTTTCTACACGTCTAGGTATTTCTTATCATGGTTCGAGAATACCAAGTATATGATGTAAAATTTGTAGTCCCAATAACTCATGTCATAGTTGTATTTTCTTTATACAGATGTAGCTCGTTACTTTTCATAAATATATAATGTAAATATGCATACATATGTTTGTAACTGTTTTTATGTTACATCATACACTTGTAATTTGACATATCAAATAACATTATCATAATAAAATGGTGAGTTTTAATCTTTTGCTGTGCGGGCGTCATTGTGTTTCTTTTCAGCGATCCTTAGCCATGTGAAAACACGATTGGGAACTGGAGCTCGAAGGTGTGCAGACCCAAAACATGACCAGAAATAAACTGTTTGTTTGATCAATAGAAAATTAATCCGTAATAATTCTGATAATCAGTCAATTTGTGGGTTTAAGTCAACTATCAAGTCATGCTGTTCCTCTGTTTTATGTCATTGTAAACTAATTATCTTTGGGTTTTGGACTGTTGGTCGGACAAAACAAGACATTTGAAGACGTCACCTTGGGCTCTAGGAAATTGTGACAGGCATTCTCTTCTGGCATTTGATTTATTGATAATGAATAATAATAAAATTAGTTGGCACTCCAGAGGTTGCAAGATTATTCTACTGGTGAGCATGTTTAAGGCAATGGTGATTAATATTGGCATAAGTTAAAACAGAGAAACTACTTAGCCTAACTAAAGACCATTTGCATCCTATAACAACAACACTAATAATTATCCTCAGATGTTTGGCCCAGATACAGTATGTTATGAGATTATTATTGAACTTTGAATAAAACCTTTTGCAAGCATTTACAACAAGTGAATTGGAAAGAAGTAACTAAGTATGTTTACTTAAGTACTTGATTTTAATTTAGATCAGGGGTTTTGAAAGTCTGGGACTGTGGGCTCCCTTTTAGACAAAGCTTAGAAAAAGGCGCCCTCTCAAACCCCGTTGTTTTAGTTTTGCTCAGCTCCTGGATGCCTATGGGATGATCATTTTATTTGATCCCATATACACTGAACAATTGAGCCAAGATAGTCTAATGTGGCTGTTTGACATAACTTCAGATTACATCGAATAGATAACAAAGGCCTGTCCTAAGGTATTTATTCATTTCTGACTCTAGGAAAGTGGGAAAACAATACAATTGTGAATATCTGGACTATCTCTTTAACCAAATCGCAAACATTGAGGCTATTCTATGTGATCTCATTTTGATAACTAATGTAGGCTACTATTTGTTCCACTTCCATTCACTGAGCCTCACCTGAATCAGTTTGGAGACCCTCAAGGGGAGGCCTGCCTCCCACTTCTCTGATTTAAATAATTTTAGGCACTATTTTAACAGGGCAATAATGTATTTAACTGTACAACTAGTTACTTTGCAGATTAGTCAATTTGAGATGGGACCATAAAATGCGGCTTATATCAACTTTGCAGGACCTGTGAGAAACAGCCTTGTTTTAAATAAAAAAATTCATTTAAGAGAATTTTCTCGAACTGTAAATTAGTCTATCCTTCAAATGCTTTGACATCATGCAACTCACACATTTGGATACACGCTTTATTAATGCACCAGTAATTAAACACTTTGGCAAGAGCCATTCCTCACAGTAAATTTTATTGCTAAAATATGGGTAAAATTCTGACTACATTGCAGTTTTCTACTGTGTATCCCTACTTATTTACCGATTGCAGGAGCGGAACCGTCGCAGCGGAACCATAGATTTGAACGTCATACGTTTCACTCTGACTCATTTACGTAACCGGAACAAATAACGCGGCATGATAGCGCCGCAGAAATGAATGGGTGCAGAAATTAAGTATGTTGACGTTGTTGTACTCGTAAGTTCGTCATGTTTAACGTTGATTAACGCATGTAAAAAAAAAAAAAGAGACGGACTCATCAATGGAGTGTGACATTTTGGACTCGTTAGAGCATCTTGGGTAAGCTAATTTAACGTTAGCATGGTGCGGTACGTGTTTAGTTTTTTCCGTCTAGACTCACAGTCATCGTGTTGTTCTCAGTCTTTGTGTTTACAAGAAATAGAGTGGCTGCAATAGCTAGTCATAATCTAGCTGGTTGACACAGTATCTCTATCTAACATCTGGGCGTTTTGATGCTAATTCGACTCCTCTCACGACGTTCACGGTCCCCAGCTATGACGGCCCTCTGCTGGAGGAGAAGGCTCTGCTCGGAGCCGCAGAGGGAGGCTTGTCCTCTCCTGAGTATGTGGACCTGTGCAGGTGGCTGGCATCCAGGTTAAAGCCGCTGTGCGATCTGGAGGAGAGCATCACTTCCGGTCCAGGTGAGCCACATCGACGTGCACCCGATTCTGATGCTCAAAACTGTCAGTTTTGTCTTTATGTTTCTCGCACACTCTTCAGCCTGTGTTCCTCTCTGTCCTCCTCTCTAGACGACAGGGGCAGCCTTCAGGTGGAGATGAGTGGTTTGCTGAAGGAGCTGCACTGTCCTTATAAAGAAGTAATCTCAGGGATTCTCAAGGGAAGTGTGCGAAGTTCAAAAGATCATCTTAAGTTTGTCTGTATGTAATCTGTCGTGTTCTTCATTCTCACCATTGTGCTCCAAGACCTCTGTGTGATGCGTAAGGAACTTAAGAATATGATTTTTGTGTATCCTTATAAAGTGTTTTTAAGCTCTGAGCTCCAGGCTGCTCAGATTGTGAGGAGCAGACAAGCCTCTGAACAACAAGAAGATAGTCCGGTGTGTCAGGAGCTCCTGGCAATCTGTGAAACACTGAATCTGCCAGAGCCCAAAGGACAGGACGCAGCAGGTGTTATGTCTCAAGTCCAAGACAAGGTGGGATTATTTAATACCATTTAAGTACATTAATATCAGGGCTGCCAAAATAAGCCTGTGAGAGTTTTTGTTGTGACAATAGAGGATTAAAAACACGCATCTCACTAATTATCTTTTTACTTTACATTTATAATGCCAATAAAAAGCATGTGTTGTAGTTGCTGTAAACACAAAAAGATATTTAAAACCATCAGTTGCCCCCTTGCATTGACTTCCTGTTAGGCTTCATATTGATGTTATATATTACTGGCAATGTTTAAGCATTATTTGGTCTTGCTCTATAAATACCGTAAAACTTAAAACAATTAATAGCCCAGCTTAATAGCTTAAGTCATTGAACTCACTCTGCCTATTTTTGGTACAGGCGTCTACATGGGACAGGTCTTTAAATCCTTTACCATGCCAGTGAATCTGAATGAATAATACTTTGGTGCTCATTGTTTCTGTAAAATTAACTATATTATTGAATTGTGGAGAATGTAACTGATCTAACAAGCGTAGCATGTCCATATTGACAAAAGTTTAAACATTTATATTGGTATACAGGATCTAAGCCAGCGGTTCTCTATTTTCTGTATATGTTCTATATTTATATCTATTATTAAGGACCCCGAAACTGACACAAATTAGACCACGTATTTTTATTCCTGAAAATGAATGAAACCCATGACCAAAATAGTCGTACGTTCGGTCACAATGTTACTTATGGATGGAATTTGAGTGAAAATAAATGATTCCCCTTTTTGCTGGGAAACCCCCTCAAGAACCCCTGGGGGTCCGTGGACCCCACTGTGAGAACCACTGATCTAAGCAGCTTAGAACTAACTCAAGCAGGTGACCCGTATAACTTTAAGAGTTTTTAAACATCCAAAGAACTACTATGAAAACCAAACCAGGTGTCTGATTCAGACCTGCCTTTTTTGTCACCCCAGGCTAGTAAAAGTGTGTCTGATTGGGCATTTTACAGTTTTTTAACTGGCCAGGTTCCTATGTGTCCTGTCCGCAATGTTCTCTTCCATTCAGATGACAACGGGCAGGAACCTGTTTCACTGCTAATACTACTAAATACTTAAACATAGATAAAACACGATCGACCGTTAAACAGCCAATACTCTTGACTTGTAGTCTTACATTGAACTGCACCTTTTCATGTGTTGTAATATGCTATTTTAGATATGAAAGTACAAGAATAAATGCAGATATCATTTGCATCTAAATTACAACAGAATTCGGTGCAGTACATACATTGGATGCTTGTGTATATTTGTAATTAGCATTGTGAATCAAAGATGTATTGTTGTATTTTTCTTCCTTTTGTATTTTGCTAATGCATGAAACCCTGTGTGTCACTGTAGGTTGATAAAGTACTTAAAGATCTTCCAAATGGCTCCATGAAAAACCCAGTGTTAAATAAGCCTCTGTCCAGTGAACAATGGGTCAGTAGATGAACATCTGAAACAAACCATATCATATGACTATTTTACAGAAAGTGTATTAACAAATGTGGCTTTCCCTCCTAATCTCTGCAGGAGAAGTTGTACAACATAAACAAGGTTCTGTCTTCAGAGTATGAGTGTCGGCGCAGGATGCTGATTAAACGGCTGGATGTCACAGTTCAGTCATTTGGGTGGTCAGACAGAGCCAAGGTTCGTTCATATAATAATCACATGAACCTTTTTTCTGTCCTCTTTCTTCATACGGGGGATCTAAACTGGTGAACATTATGGAGGAGACATAGCTGCACTTTGCAAAATCAAAAATCTGATTCCTAACACTGAATTGGACCATGAAATATTACAAAATGATTATCTGAGTGAATATTACTGATGCTAACAGCTTTTCACTGAGTGATGCACATATTTTCGGTCTGGGCTCTTAAATGTGTTTTTATGAATTTTCTTTATCCCTATTTTTTTATTAGAAGCTGTCTTTATCATACGTGTGCCTGTGGTTTGTTAGGTGAAGTTGGACAGCATGGCGAGGGCCTACCAGCCTAAGAGACACTCTCTGAGGCCACAGTCCACAGTGGACATGGCCGAGCTGCTGGCTGCCAGAGAAGACATCTGCAATGTGGTGAAGACCAGCAGCGGCTCCAGTAGGGAGAACACTGCTTGTGCTGTCAACAAGGTAAAGAAAAAAATCTTCCGGTTTCTCTGAAAATGCCTTAAATATGAGGCTTTCCTCTAACGCATCAGTTTCTCTCTTCATCTCTGTTATCCACAGATCCTGATGGGGAGAGTCCCGGACAGAGGAGGACGCCCCTCAGAGATACAAGCCCCAAGGCCTGAGATGCCGCCCTGGCAAAAAAGACAAGATGGCGGCGGAGGTGGTGGTGGCTGGGGAGGCCGAGGTGGCGGTGGTGGAAGAGGAGGAGGTTGGAGAGGAGGTGGATGGAACCAAGGAGGACATGGTGGACATGGAAACTATGGAGGACAGGTTGGGCACGGAGGAAAGAGAGGACGCTACCAGTATTAATTTCTACTTATATTCGCTTGTTGTGATCCAGATATGGTTTTTCACATGAACTCACTTCTGTTTTTAATGAGGAAGAAAACACTTGGATCTGATGGCAGTGAAAAATCTTCATGTAGATGATTTATAATGCTTCAAATTATACTATTAGTGTTTAAATTTAGAAAAATATCATTGTTTTTAAAATGAAAACACCAGTATTCCTGTAACATCTGCGCCGGGACATATTATAGCTGTGTCCCAAATCCAGACTGCGTGTGTTTTCTAAGGAAGATTTTGGTATGTTTTTAAGTTTATTTAACTTCACAAAAAAACCTTGATTTTTGAGTGTGCTGTTGATTCACCATATCCTCCCACAATGCAATGCACAACAGAAATGGAGGAGCTTGAAAAATTATATTAACTAATAGTAGATGGTAGTCAAATATCTCCAGAACTACAAACTAAAAAAAATATTTTTAACCATTAAAATGTGTAATGTTTCTTTTATACCAACAGATACTGCAAATAAACAAACAAAGATGATACTATAAAGATTAGTATTTACTGTATATTATCATTTATGTAGTGTAAAACTGGGACACAGCTTGTATTCCCAACAAGGTTTAGGTACCAGAGGGGACACTAAGCGGACTCCTGAACACTGAAAAGACCGACAAAGTAAAATATGAGCTCTTAACCCTTAACATTTCGCCTTTTTACACTGATGAAATTGAATTGTTTGAGGGATTTGAGACTACAGTGAAGGACGTTGAAAATTATGTCTGCAAAACTTAAAAGGCGAATGCAGACGAGCAACGTTTCCCTGGCTAAAGAGGTGTCAGTGTGAACCCTGATAACTGAAACCACTGCAACCTGGTGGGGAACAAGCAGAGGGCACTGTCAGAAGATTGGTCTCAAACACAGAGAGGTTCAACTTCTACATCGCTCTGTAAGTCACACTCAAGTGTCCTCTGCCTCCCTCTCAAGGACAAGAGATGGCTCCCTTTAAATCCATATTTTACTTTACTGACTGGAACACAACAGCTATCGCCTCCTTTCTTTGAAGTTTCTTTGCCAGCTATCATGACTGTGATCCTTTTTAACCTCTGAATTTATTTAATAAACCTCTCCCAAATATGTAAACTCTCCCTTATGTTCATGTAATTAACTGATACAGAAATAATGTAACCAGAGATGGAGCCACTGGCTAATTCCTGCAACATGATGGAATACAGTAGATGAGAACTGGATGAAAGAGAACAAATTATTTCCAAATATTTATTTTTGGCTGAAAATGTTTTCTACACTTTGTTTCCAATGGCATATAATTTTTTGTTCAATAGGTACAGTTTATACATAGTTTGTACAATAACCAATATTCATAAAAGCTAATTTTACATTGTGTACATTATGAACAACATGGACAGAACAGTTGCACCTTGGCCACAAAACACTCTTAAGTCTCCACAGTAAGACTCAATCAGTATCTTTAAAACCAAAAAACAAAATATGAAGCAAATTCATATGGGCCTTAAAAAAAGATCCAGTTAAAATACATCTAAACATCAATTAAGATATATTTTTCTCCAGTAAGATCATTGCCCAAGTCTGACACCAACAACATCAGGGTAGGACAAATGACGGATTAATCACTTCAGCCACATTATAAATTCAGTTGGTGCCTTGAATTGATAATGTAGGCAAAATATTTCAAATTAAAATAGTTAAAAACATCCATGTAAACTTTGCAATGCCAGCAAGCATTGTTTCTGTACAGGTTAACTTCATAATTGAGCTCTAAATACTACCCATAGCTGCATTAGGAAATGGACACGTACTGCGTCCGGCTCCTGTTCTTTAATAGTCAGGGGGCCATGGGTAACAGCAGGAAGTGTCTCTGCAGAGGGACATTTCTCACTGGTGTGAAAAGCGCGGCAGAATACTGTAACTAGAGATGATCTGTCCCTTGGATATTCTGTGACCACCATAGCCAACACACTGCACAGCACTGTTAGTGACATCTGAATACTGTCAAAAGGCCTCATTTCCCCAATTTGTATGTAATTAACAATGAAACTAAGGCCAGACTTTTCCAACTTAAAGGATCTTTTAAATTATCCGGTTTGCAATGCTTGTGCTTTATGCTGGGGTGTTTCTCAAATGGATCGATTAGCATTAATAATCAAGTTATCACTGCAATAAATCAAGCAAGAAATGACACATTTCCTTCGTATTATGCAAACATGTTCAGCCCTTTTAACTTTACAATGCAGATATTTAGGCACTTTGTCTTGGCAAACTATTTAAATGTATACTGCTCCAGCTCAAATACAACAGAGTTCTCCTGATAAAACAAAAAAAGGGATGAAATATATGAATGATTATTTCTGGAACCTGTGCAACGCATTTCTACTTCCCATCAATCTAGTGTTTTATAAAAACCAATCCATCTCCCACTGACGACAATCACATTTATGCACTTGCTTTTAGCAGATACTTTGTTTAGTCGGTACTTAGGCTTTTTTAACAGAAATTTTGCCCGTACAAAGTAGCACAAGGTAAGTGGTATACAATAGCATCATTCTGTTAAATGTAAATTGTCTTAAGTTAAATGGAGGGACAAACCCCTGTTCCACCAGAAGCCACGTGATAAAGATAAAATCTGCCTGAACTCTGACCTCCATAATCAAACCTTCATGAGACACTCCACTGTCTTAATTACTATAGAAAAGTCCTTCATTATCATAACAGTTGACCACACCGCAATACAAAACATTTATTTAAAAATGACCGTAGTCAAATGAAAATACAACTTTTTTGATACACATCTATATTAAAAGGTATTTTAATGCAGCTTAACATTGGTTCATTATGTACAGCAAAGTACTGTAAAAGTGCGGGGTTTATTAAGCAATAACGTATGTAAAAAATAATATATATATAATACTGTTTAGAGGCAGGTCAAAAGTCTATATACTCCTTCATCGCTTCTTTCTTGTACATCCACACATCATTCCTTCAGCCTTGCCTGAGTCGATATCGCCAAAAATTGACTGCTACATTGAACAGGTTTATATGGCTGCATCTTCACAGTGCAGTTTGGCATAAATCTGGAGCAAAGAGTAAAGTTGGGCCAGACAGACAGCTCATATGAGCCTAGAGTTGCGGAGGTACTGGATGAGGACCTTGTAGACGAAGCTGTATTGAGACAAGGTCTGAACCATCATCATTCTCTGCTCACGCAGCATAAAGAGGTATTTTGGGACATCCAGCGCCTGAAACAGACAGACTTTTCGTGTGAGAGAGACAGCAACCAAGGAAAAATACACCAGCTGCGGTCATGACAAAAAAAGCTGTATTACACAGGCTTTATTTATTCTGCTTTGCGTGAAAGTGGGGAGCTTACCTCGTTGTGCTCTAGACAGGCTATCATGATCTCAGACAGGATGACCACTCCAGTCCGTCCCACTCCAGCACTGCAGTGGACCAGCACAGGTAGGTTGGTGTTCTTTGGGTCACTGATGCTGTTCGTGTGTCTCCTCACAGACTGGATCTCCTCCAGGTAGGCTGGAAAAAACACGAGAACACTTACTTGAGAATTAATTGGGAACACAATAAATGAATACAGTAGTTTTGACACAGAACTTTGGAAACGTAAAATATTGTTTTAATGACTTCTAGGAGATCATCCACTTCCAACAAAACTGATCTTGTGTCCTAGCACCAGGTGGAATTAATGTTGCCATCAGTTCAAACAAGTCCAGTTTCAGTCTTTTAGGCAGATATCTCATCATAAAAGCATGATGGCCATAAATAGATAAACTGAGGCTGATCCCACTCACCGAGGAAGCCTTTGAAGTCCTCAGGACAGCCGTGGTCAGGCCAGTCTGTGTACTGCAGGTGCCAGACAGTCCTCTCTTGGCCCGTCAGGAGGTGTTTGATCTTTAGCCCTGTGGTGGCGTAGCAGCCGGACTCTGTGCGGAACCGCGTCGTGATCTTGAACCGACCATACGTCACCGTGTTGTGTCGTGAGCCGAGTCGGGGCCAATACCGGAAGCTCTTTTCTCGGCCATTCTCCTGGAGGAAGCAGATGACACGTGAAAATGTCAGTCCGGGTAGTGATGATGAACAAAGTAATGCGTAGCTGTAAATTTTAAATCAACGCACCTCTTCAGCAGTGACCATGGCGATGATGGAGACACCCTGCTCCCACACCATCTGCCAGAAGTCCGGACACGTGTTCGACAGGGGACCCTGTGTGCAGATGTAGCTCCACTCCTGTCCACCTACAGTTATCTAATGAGACAGGGAGAGTATTTTTAAAGGCATCAGTCATAGGATTTATCTGTAATTCTTTTAAAAACAGAGCTAGAGCATCAGAAAATGGAAATCATTCTGTGTACTGAGTATTTCTATTGCATCATAGAGACTCACTAACGAAGGAGTGAATGTGACTAAAAAGCAGTTATTCCCACAAACCACCCTGTGCAAGTGGCATGCCTGCTACTCATGAGCAGCTTTATCCACAGAAGTATTTAGATGAACGGTTGTCAGGGTTGGATGCTAGGATGAATCTTCTGGGTAGATGGGTGGAGTCATTTATAAAAACAAGAATTACTCTGAATTAGATCATAAGGTAAGGCTTAAATTGGAAGTCTACCAATTTTGCATGTCAAAGTCAATTGACTTTTTTTCAAAAAGAGTACTACTCAGCCTGTGTAAACAGAGATTTTCTAAACTCTGAGAAAATAATCCAGGCGATGTCATCAAGATGATGTCAGTTTACGCTTGGAAACTACAAATTTATAGCAGAAAACCTGCCTTTCAAACTGAGGGGACATGGGAATATACTAGGCAGGGGAGTTGTCTAGTGTTAACAAAAGACACTATTTCCCATAATGCACAACATCAACTTGGAATATTTCTAACTCATTTATTTAGACAATTTTTGGTTTATTCGGTCCCTCACAAGTCTGCCGTCATTATGAAAGTACAATACTAAATCACTGGAGTAGCCATTTAAAAGTACTGAATATGAAGCAGGTCATTCTAATTTCCAGTTGCTTCCACTGTTTAGAAATGTCAGGCCATGCACTGGCAGTCACTTATTGCCACGTGTCACGCACACTATTGTTTTTGTTTTCTGAAGTGGTTAAGAAGCAGACATTTGAGAAACAATTCTGTATATACAACATACGCCGGAGTGTGTCTCAGAAGCGGCTCTCCAATCTGCTCTGCGGAGAACATGTGGCTAGTCTATTTATGGCACTATAGAGTGCAACAGGAGTATTTTAGGGATTTTCTAGTGTATTCAGTAGGCAGTAAGATGGTTTAAAAATGTAGGGCTTTACATTGTAGCAGAAGGTGATATGGTCTGTGGTATACTCATCGAAGCAAATTTACTTATAGCACTATAGCACTTGTTGTATTAGGTGTTGTTGGTGCTCTTGTATTGCACTAAATTAGAGAACAATTGCTTTTTAGCAAAGCTGAGCCTCTGCTTTACTGATGACGTCGTCCTCATGAGCACTGTCATTTTGATTTTTTTTCTGGGTGTGTATGAGCTTTGCTACAGTGATTAAGAACAAAATCATGTAAAAGTGATCAGTGAGATCACAAAAAATCTCTGCATAACTTACTTTAATATGTGATGCGTTTATGTAGCCTGTGTTGTTTTCTTTAGTGGGAACCAGCTCCACTCGGGTGTCATCGTAAGGCAGGACGTCTTGGAAGCGGTTTTTGTCTCCGCTCTCTGGCAGCAGGGCGATGGTGCATCCGCCTGATAAACGACGCTTTGGGATACTCTCGTACTCTTTTAACAGCTCTCCCATCTCCATATGCTGCTCCAGTGCTTTACACTACCACACACAAACAAGGACACAGTAAATACATCACTGGCGAGTCCTGACTCATAAACAAGTTTAATCAATTTTGACTTCCTTAGGCCACTCAGTTTAATTGTATAAATCATAAATAATTTGGCGAGATGTACAGTGTCATAGCTTTAGGAGTATTGATACTCATGACATCTAAATAAATGAATGAGATTTGAATAATTAACCAACAGGTGAAAACAGGAATAGGTGAAGATAGAAAAGTGGATTGCAAGATACATTTGTAGCATAAAAACACTTTTGTT